GGATAAATCTCTAGACTCTCCTTCACTCACCAGCATAACATTTCCTTTGCATTCCGGTATTCACAATGAAGGGAACCTGGTATACCTACTGCTACTTCCTTATTAGGGTAATATAAGTAAAATGTAAGTTTAATAAGTTCTCCATTATGGTATTCATTGGCATGAATTGTTTGATTGTTGGCCACTTAAGCAATACGAAGTACTTTGTTAACTAACAATTTCTAAAGACTTTATGTTGATTCTGCAGCTAAGAAAGATCAACACTAGTGCTTTCCTAACATGGTTTTCATAAGTAGATTCACACCTTGCCAGGAAATCAGTTGATCAGCTATGGATAGCATCCAGCAGTAGAAACACCTGTAGTGACTGAATATTGTATTTACAGGCCACCTAAAATGACATTCTTTGTGGAAGACTTGCTCTCTGAGGATCAGAAGAGTCAAGATAGTTGAGAACCATGAAGGATACAATGCATCTAATGCATTCAGCTTTGGTAAGGGAGGATTATTGTAGTTGGGGTTTTTTTGTGTGTTTTTGTTTTTTGGGTTTTTTGTTTTGTTTTGTTTTTTTGTTTTTTATTTAATGTTAGCTCCAGGAAAAGACCTCATTTGCTCAAACTTTATATGACTTTAACTGGAGTGACCATGGGTCTGAAATATTAGTGAGGTAAGGGCCCATCACATTATTTAAGAATTACTTCCACTGCCTTTGCCAGAAATGTCCTTGTGTGCCAACATTTCTGATCCCAAGCCCAGGTAAGACTAGCCTGGACCAGCCTGCACTCCAGACAAAACCATCTGTTTTCCCAGCCCTACAAATCTCTGGCAGCACAAATCAGCCCTAGGAATGCAGTGTCTCTCAATAGACAGGCTGAAATGAAGAGACAGTTTGAGAGCTCCTCAAAAAGCTAATGCTGAGCATTTGTTGCCAGATATACACCTGCTCCTGACAACAGCACCAGACATGGATTACAGCCTTGGGCTGTATTGTGAATGCATTCAGCATCACCTCCTCCCTGGTATAGCTCCTCCTCAAAGGCAAGTCTCCCAGATGACACAGGGTGGCTTGCAGTTGAAAAAAGATATGCATATACATGCATGCAAGCACCCCTCACTCTCACATTAAAGCTGTTCTTCCTGCCTTTGCCTAATAACGTAACTTTATGAGAGGTCATAACACCTATAGTCTTAGCCTCAAAGTGAGACAGCAGGTTTACTGAGTACGGCAGATGTGGTTTTAAGAGGGAGGCCTATGGAATAAACAAGTATTCCTCTTCATCCTCCCCTCCTGAAGCAAAGGCTCCAAGTAACTGGCTGTCAACGCAGTTTTCCTGCCAACCACCTGGATGAGAAGGTACCAACACTGCAGCTCTGAAGATGTGAGAAAAAGCGTTGCTTAAGCCTCATAGCAGTCATCAATCTCTAGACAGAAAATTGGAGAGTTATAGTGAGCAATGAGCGGGGGTATTATTCAACAGCAACGGATTTGCTTTTGCTATCACTTATTAACCGGTAAGCGCCTGGTAATGTTCCTGGTTTACATTTGACTTGTTGAATAATCTATCAGTCAACAAGGTCCTGTGATTTGATCTCAGCAAAGGAACAAACTGAACACCCCCTGATTTCACCTGAGTTGATTCAGTCTTTAAATACTGCTGGAAACTCCCTTAGAAATGCTTTACTTGAGCTTCAGCTTGAAATTTGCTGTCTAGCTACCTTACATCTTTGAATACAGGACGTAGTGAAAGCCAGTTCTTTTTAAAATTACCTCTGGTTTGCTAATACTCTTGTTCAAAACCCATCAGCTACATCCATAACGGTAAACTAAAACTCTGTCAGGGAAGTTTGGAGAAACTGGAACAAAATCATCCATACCACTAAATTTTTAGACAGGTCCTTAACATAGTTTTGGCTTGTGCCTAACTTCAGACAATTCCTGGGCAAAATCTGAGTATTAGCACAGGGCAGAATCTGGTTTCAGTAGTTAGCTTGAATGTGACCATGATACTCAGGAAAATAAGATAAATTAATAGTTTGGGTGTAGGCCAATCTTTTCTCAGTAGTAGGAGAAAGTGCTGGGTACATTTACTTTACTACTATATACACAGCTACCAAATACCAAAGCTGGATAATTGCTTATATCATGCCTTCAGAGAACCTAGCTTGCCTGGGAACTTTGATTTCTACTCTTGTAACTCGTCCTGTGTCAATGTACCTCCTACTGACTAAACGTGCACATCTAGAGTGCGTCTACATATGCATCCATTTGTGAGCAAATCATCTTGGGATCCTAAAATAATCAGTGGAGGTCTAGCCAATATAGTCAATGGAGTGTAGGACATGATTTGTCTCTTTTTTCAGGACACTCCTAACTGTGCTTAAATGAATTAAGTCCCACTGGCTGTGTAGCAAGGTGCTGATTACAATGAAGGCAGGCACCTAGCTTAAATCAAGATAACTTCTGTTGTGGGATTTACCTGGTTCCAAAGTTGGGACTGACATCTCAAGGTAACATATTGTTAACTAGCTAGTGTCTCAGTGAGTCACTCCTCAAAGTAATGTTAATTGCTGAATCAATCTCCCAATGCATGCAAACCCCCTCAGAAATGCTGCCAAGTATGATGGAAGTCTACTGTTTGTCTACTTTTGCCAAGACTAAACTTCTAGTTGGGTGATAAACCCTGGTGCTGGGATGCTGATATAGTTGTACCTCTGCAACAACCTTGCCTTTAGATAAGCTCTCAAAGCTACACTAGTTTTTATCATCACTTTGCTTTTCAGATGGAATTCTAAGGCCAGTTCCTCATTCTGTGCAAAGCTGTAAATAATATAGCATTTTAACAAATGGGACTAATAAGAGAGATCAGAAGTGCATTTGCTCACTATATTTCATTTAGACCAGATAATGAAGGTGAGAGTTGTACTCTGATGCTATTGGTATTAGTTGCCTACAGATTTGGACCAAATTTGGATTGTTTATTTTTTTCTCCTTAGTTGTCCTGATATCCACTGCTGTAATATGAAAATCTCCACTGGCTAGCTGCTGAGGGTTACAGACTGGGACGGGAGGGCTGGGGAGAGAGAAGGAGAAGGGTAAATGCCAGTAATTGTGCATTTTCCTGGTGACTCCATCCTTATTGCTCTATCTTCATTTCACTGTTTTAATTTCAGGGGGCTTGATACACTAAGAAGTTATTGGCGCCTTCCACTCTTCCCCTTCCTGTTATTTATGTGTAGCTGCATTTCATATTTTTGAAGGTATTTGGATGGACTCCAAAAAGAAGAAAAGCTATGACTTATCCTAAGAGTTGAGATGTCACAGTGATAAAGGACAGGCAGATAGACAGACAGACAAGCTGTGCTAAAAATATTATATTCCTTTCTATTTTTGGGTCAGATACCTGCTGCTAGATTACGTGACTTTTGTTATTGTTGTTATGTACACTGTTGGCAGCTAATCATCTTTGTTTCTCCACGCCAGAGTCAGCAGAGTCAATGGTGCTATGCCAAATTTTAAAATATATGACTAGGAACAGAATGCATGTTCTGGGAAAATAGCTTAAATATTTATTTTCTGTATGGCTTTCATGTTTGAGCCCATGACTACTGGGCTCAAAGCATGATGACAGTACTACAGCTGCTCAAGAAGTTATCTGTGTTTTGAACACCGGCCCTGAATTGTCACCTGCACTCTTGAAGGACAAAAGAGAAAGGGAGAGATTAAAAAGCTTGAAGTTATCTCTGTGCATCAGTTAATTAATAATCAGAGAAATATATGTTCTGGCCTGAAGATGGTTGGTAGGAGGACAGGATTTTGTGACAAATCTATTTTCTGGGGAGGATGTTGGTGGTGTTTTTTTTTTTTTTTTTTTTTTTTTTTTTTCCCCACAGGGATTATGTAAAAAGGTTGTTCTAATAAATGATTTATGAAAGCAGCAAGGAATGAAGAAATCTACTAGGACTGCAGCTCAGGGCATCTAATATTCCTGATTCTGCACAGCATCTTCCAGGAAGGTCCTTACATTGGAGTCCATGACTTTTCCTGGCCTGCTCTTTTCCTACATGGCTGTGTAAATAAATGATCAGCAGACAGAAACTGGGGTAGCATCTCACAGGGTGCTTTGGTTTCTCCCCATTTTTTCCACAGGAACTCTTGGTAGTGAGTCATGCTGAGGGAGCTTCATGCCCTTCTCATGATGCCAGCATGGTCATCCATGGCTTTATGTAATTGATGTTACTCAAGAGCTGTTTTTCTCTTTTAATCAGCGGAGATGATAAAGAAGGGAATTAACAATCTATCTCACAGTGCATTTGAAGACTGTTTTGCAACTGTAAACTTTTCATTCACAGTGAGTAGTGTCTCTACATGGCCAGGAATTAGTTTGTGCACTAAGTGCAGCCCTGAATGAGCACATCATTAGGTTCACATGGATCCGTAATCGGTCTTCCTGAGTTTTCTGTTTCTCTTTGCATGCTGCAAGGAGAATTAGCGGTTAATGTGCAAAACAGACTTTTGATGATCTGCTACCAGGTTGGAATAGCATGTTGCCTCTCTTCAGCAGAAGCTTTCCTCTGGATGGAACCCAGTGCTTGGTAATTGCAC